ATGTGACCTGCAGAAATCTGTATGCTACATATGGAGTAGTTTAAATGAACAGTTGTATCTCTTAGGCGATGCCTTAAAAATTATACTAGGGAAGCCTTGTAAATGTTGGGATGATAAACTCATTCCTGAGTTATTATTATTATTCTCTGCAGGAAAGTACAGCCAGCAACAAAAACGGTAACGTCTCGCCAGGCCATGATCGGAGGATAAGGGCCCTTCTTGCCCTGGAAAAGGCCCAGTTGAAACAACTGAAACGTAGCACGAAAAGGGAGGATTTGCGTCTCCTTTATTCCCTAGGCAAGATATACATGCTGTGCAAGTAGGGCCTGGGCGAAGCATACCTTCAGAAGTTTTACTGAGGTGGACTTCATATTACGTTTTCGCAGTTTATTTTCTTATCATTGTTATTGTCATTCTCTGCAACTGGAACCGCCTTTCGGAGATGTTGGAGCTTGAGTTCTCTCTTTCAGCTAAGTCAGCTTTGCGGTAGCCCCTCTTCTCCCGATGTTGAACTTGAAATGTATCTTGAAAAATGCCATCAAGAAAATACTTGGTACAGAACCAATCAGATAAATTGATATTAGAATTCATTCTTTTAGATGTAGAAGTGGCAAACATTTTAAAATCGAGCATTTATTCACACGATGTTTGTGGATAATGACATAAACGAAGCTGAGACGGCTATTCAGAGAGTAGATAGAGTAATCCTCGGGCAATCGAAATCTATCAAACGTCATCAATCTACCTATGATGCAACATATTGAATCCTTTTCTCTCCCGAGCTCCAGAACGAACGTTTTCCCTCCAGACGGTGCGGATCTCTGCCACGAGACCACAAGACAAAGAGCACGCTGTTAGATGATTTTGCTCACTTAAGAAGATAAATGGCACGACTGTCACTTGAAGAGAACGTCCAATTATATCTGGTTCACACAGATACCATAGCATGGAAAACACGCAACTTCGTTATAGTTGGAAATTAGCCATCATAACCCAAAGCCATGGCGTCGGCGAAGAACTAGTGGTTCAGGAAAATCCTTAACAAAATTGTCTTCTTCATACATACCAGGTTGTCAAGGCAGAAGCTGTGGGATTCTGTAAGGATGTCTGATATGTTGGGAGGTCGGCGAAGGGAGGATAGGTGTGGAAAAGCAGAGGTACGTGCTGTATTAAAGCGTGGACAGGACAAGAGAATGTGTGGAACTGAAATAGGGACGTTACATAGAGGACCAATGTAGGAGAGCTATAGCTTATGAGTGATATCGCATATGGTACGTATTGGGGAATCTGGGGAGAAGGAGCTAGGGGGTGTGAAAGAGGGGTATTAGGAGGTAGGGAATTTGGGGAAGGGCATTGTTGTGACATGAGTGATTCTCATGTGTATCCGGGAGGGAGTGCAAAAGATAGAGGGGATGGAGGAAGGGAGAATGTGCCTATAGTTGGGGTTGAAGGGTGTGGGTTGCGTTGGGAGGGGGTAGATGTGGGGGGAGTATTAGTGGTAGGAGGGTGGATATCGGAAAGATGGATAGTTTGAGTTGAAGGGCATGTGTTGTCTTGGGAGGGATTAGGAGGAAGGGGTGTAGGGGTGCTGTGAGTAAGAGGGGGATGATATCAGAATGGTATTGGGAGGATGGATATCGGAGGTGGACGGAATTGAGGGGTTAGTTTGTTGAGAGGGAGTAGGAGGAAGGGTGTAGGGGAATATTTGTAGGAGGGTATGAATATCGGCAACCACTTTAAGTGTGGAAGGAGCATGATTTATGGGATCTTGTGTCTTAAGCATATAACTTTGGATGTCATCCATTGTTTCTGCAGTGGAATTGGTTGGAGAGTTTTGTGAGAAGGTAATTGTTTCTGCAATGGAGTTGGTTGGAGAGTTTTGTGGGATAAAGGTTTTCATATGAGGGGGGGGGGGAAGAGGAGACTGGTGTCTCAGGAATAAAGGTAAAGGTAGGTGGAGGTGATTGTGCTGTAGGGGAAGAAGGGTTAGAACATTTAGTCTGTCTACTGCGGGTAGTGCGGGGAGGGAAAGGGGTTGATGTTGGGACTGTAGTTGAGATTGGAGCTATGGTTGAGATTGGGGTGTCTGGGTTTAGAGTGGCAAAGGAATTGGTCTGAGGGATGTAGAATGTAGAAGTGGAAATGGGGACATCTTGGGGTGGAGGGGGAGGGGCTGAGCGAACGATGTTAATAGAGTATGGAGTATGAGAGAAACCTTGTCGACGGACTTCCTGTCTGGCTTCACGTAAAGTGAGACCATTTTTGTATCTGAGAGTTGCTACCTCAGATTCAAACTTGTAAGTGGGACAGCCTCTATAAAATACATTATGGGGGCCGCCGCAGTTAGCACATGTTCGTGTTTGTGCTGAGCAGTTTGATCGGTTATGACCAGGTTGGGCACATATGGGACATCGGTCTGTGGAACAGCAATGTTTGGCAGGATGTCCAAAGCCCCAACAGTTTTGACATTGACGGGGAGGGGGTTGGTATGGTCGAACAGGGAGGGATTGTCCACCGATGTAGATACGTAAGGGAAGGTCATGTATACGGAAGGTAATTTTGGCAATGTTGGTCGGATTCTTTCGTTGACCTTTAGGAGGAATGGTGCAGCAAAGAACTGATTCCACATCTTGGTCTTTGAGGCATCCTAATAAGTCTTCTCCACAGTCTAACCAATCTTTGCTGGGGAGAGAGAGACAGTTCCGGTACAGGTATTAAGGGTTGGATGAGGTTCTGCAGGAATGGGGCTGCCAGAATGATCAGTAAAATTTGATAGTGCTATAGATTCAGTTTCTGATCTGACTGTTACAAGACGGGAGCGATCGCGTCTGGTATAGAAAGGGACTCAGCCTACTTGTTTTTGGAGGCATTGTTGAAAGAGAAGAGTGTTGCCTGAGTAAGGAGCTGTAGAAGAGATCACGAAAAATCGGTCCCATTTAGCTGGGCTAAACAGAGTATTTAAGATATCTGTAGGGTTGGTGGTGGTGGATGGTCGGGGACGGAATGATGGAGAATAAGGCTGCAAGGTAGTAATATGGGAGGATTGGTTGCTTTATGAAGGTTGCGGGGGTAGAGTTGATGAATTTGAGGAAGTTGGGTGGGTAGGAATGTTTTCTGGAGATTGATCATCTGCTTGGGTGTGTAATGCACTAGTAGGCACTGAGGAGTGGGTAGTAGTTTCAGTGTTCGGAGCCGTGGCAAAGGAGAGCCTGGGTTGGGGCTATTTGATAAAGAGGCTAGCCTCATTGCCTCTAATAAAGGGATTACATTTTCATTACTGGTCATGGGGAACCTGGATTATATAAAAG